TCAGCAGCTGACAGGAAATAAGATGCAGTTTAAAATGCTACACTTTGCTAAGATACACAGAGGACAACATTTTTTATTTTTGCAGGATAACATGACTTTGAGTGAGATAAACTTGTGTGTGGTGGTCACAGTTTGAATAAACGTTGAGAAAGAATTGAACGACTTATTTCTCCTGTCTGAAAAAGTAACTAAATGTAAGCTTGAAATTGTTCTATTTCTTCAAAACCAGTTTATTCTACATATTTCTATTAAAAAATTGCCAAAAAAACAAACAAACAAACAAACAAAAAAAACTTTGCCACCTGCCTCTGATGGTAAATGGTAAATGGTCTGCACTTATATAGTGCTTTTCTACCTTTGCGGCACTCAAAGTGCTTTACAATGTTTCTCATTCACCCATTCACACACACATTCACACACCAAGGGCGACAGAGCTGCCATGCAAGGCGCTAGCCTGCCATTGGGAGCAACTTCGGGTTCAGTGTCTTGCCCAAGGACACTTCGACTGTGGAGGGGGCGGGGATCGAACCACCAACCTTACGGTCAGAGGACAACCGCTCTACCACCTGAGGCACAGCCGCCCTCTGATGACCCACAACAGGATAAAATGGTTTTAGCAAATGGATGGATGAATAAACTGTCTAACCAGTTCAAAAAAAAAAGAAAGAAAAGATCATCTTAAAAAATTCTGCGCTCCTAGGTGCTCAGCTGCGACACAACAGTCAAATGAAAAAAATGTGAGGTCTTTTCAGTTGAACGGGCTGAACTGCAGGCCGTACAGCCGATGGAAGACAAGTGCGGAAACACAATTCAGCTTCTTTGTTACGCTGCACACAAAACACCTTTGAGTTCTCTCTCCATCTAGCCATGGTTGTGCTGCTTCCATAACGATGCAGGACTTTGTTTTGCAGAGGACAAAAAAAAAAAAAAACAACAACCCAGAAACTGCTTGGGGTTGAGAGGGTTAACTGTGGCTAGTTCAATTAAAATATTTATAGGCTTTTGACATTTCCTAGTCATGCTGCCTCTGCCTTTCTCCATTATGGGTGCAGTTGTTTTTTTATTTTTTATTATTTATTTTACATTTCATGTACACGTTCATTTGCGTGTCTTTGCATGCATCATCTATTGGTCGTCTGCAAAAGGTCACGTGGTCAGAGCTGCTCTCGGTCCATTGATACGAGCGAATAGAAAAAGGGAAGAAAAACACATGGGAAAGGAGTGGGAGCTGAGAAGAATCAGCAGGACACACATTTAGCTCAACACACACACACACACACATTTTGACACTCCTGCTGAACTCTCTAGACAGGACTTAGTGGTTTTCTGTGGGAGAGGCTTTGATGTCCTGCAGACAGCAGCATCGTCCCTGATCCTCCTCGCTCACACACAGCCATGTTTCCATCGCTTCAGAGGACAACACATTGACTGGCGTTATTTTCTCTGGAGATTTAATCAAACCCTAATTGCCACTTGCCTAAGCCTAACCTTATGCCTAACCTTAATCTTTACCCTAATCTGACCCCCTCTACCCTCATCTTAACCCTATAAAGTCTCCACACTACAACTGAATGATTTAGATGCCCCCTTAAACTACAGTGGATCCCTTCAATTTGACTGTCTAAGCAGATTTATGTCCCCGCAACATGAGCAAAAACAAATAGACAGACCCACACACACACACACACTCCTGGTCCACTTTGACCCTTCGCTCACTTCAGTAGTCATTCAAACAGACAGCCAGAGAAACAGAGATGAAAGAAGTAAAGAAGGAGAGGAGGAAGATGCAGAGTCATTACAAAAAAAGAAGAAAAAAAAAACACACGCAAAGATGAGAAGAAGAGTGAAAAATAAACACTGCATAGATTGTACTTTTATTGAACAACCTCCTGCACTGAAACACAAGCTTCTTGCTCGTCATTTGAAGGAGGCAGGCTGTACGACAGATGCTGTGACAAAAGACACACTGTTTTAGGTGAAATGAAAGTTCAAACATAAACATGCAGGTATACAGGGAACCGGAAAAGGGAAGGAGAGATATATCATGTTTGTGCAGTTTCAAAACAGTTTTAAGGTTTTCTCTGGTTTGGGTTTAATAGAACTGATCACATCAAATGTAATAAACCAATTTAAATTAGGACAACGCTGCACAACTGGCAAGGAAACGGCAAAAACAGAGAATAAATGTATTCCTGTCATGGCTGTGTGGTTAAGAAGTTACAACAGCTCAAAGACTTGTCCTACATGTGCATACCTTTAGAGGGCACCTGTGGCAAATATATCTTCTAAACGCTCTCTCCTTATCCTAAATTTACCCCTTTACTAAGTATGTCTTCTCATAAACCTGCGTTATCGCTCACATTACACTTAGAAAGTTTTTTTTTTTTTAAACATCGTTGAGGATTTACTGCCATAAACTACCCGAGTCAGGGTGGAGTAACAATGCAAGCTGCAGCGCTACTGAGAGGAAGACAGAGAGGGAAAGGAATAAAATAGAGGAAGAGAGAGAGTCAGACAGAGCACACCCATCCTGAAGTGAGCAAAGCAAACTTTCAAGAAGAAAGTCGCCCAGATGCCACGCGTGGGAGGCAGCCCTTATTTATTTATTTCTGTTTATCTGGCTGTCAGTAATTTATTCCAAATGCGCTGTTTAAAATACTCCTTCTCCCTCCGTCTCTCTATGTCTTCCCCACAGATTAGAGGGGGGCTGCGACAGGGCTGCGTATTCCCTTCTCCTATATTGTCTAACAAATATCTAAAAGGGGAGGCAGAGAGCACAGCGGCTCTTGTTCTTTCTCAAGCGCTGAACTGAGACAAAGAGGTGTGGTAGGATTTGTTGCTCCGCGCTTGCACCTGCTTAACAGTCGGAGGTGGGTTCCTTGCGCAGTGGGTCACAATACAAGCAAAAGCACACAGGAGCACGCACACAAACAGACACACGCACGCACACGTACGGATGCATGCAAACAGCTCTCTCACCACAGGTTTAATTTGCAGAGATTAAAGTCTGCAGTGTGTTCAGTGTCACGCCGACACACAAGCACATGTACGCACACACACTTGTAACAACACCTGGGAGTGTGAGTGCTAAGTGTTGTTGTGGCCCGGAGCATACTACCTGCTGTTTCTGCAGCTCGCTCTCTCTCTCTCTCTCTCTCTCTCTCTCACACACACACACACACACACACTCACAATGAATGATGACATGACACAAAGCCTGATGAAATGATATGTAGGAGCCCCATCAGCACAGAGGTCTTACCTTACACATACACATCTCCACACACACACACACCCCTACACACACACACACACACCCCTACACACACACACACACACACACACACACACACACACACACACACAAATGAAATCTCATCATATTCAGATCGAGAAGAAAGGATTACCCGCGGCTGATTGCTGGATGAGGACATGTAGGAAGGGAATTGAATCCTCATTCAGTTGGAGTGTGTGTGTTCGTGTGTGTGTGTGTGTGTGTGTGTTCGTGTGTGTGTGTCCGTTACCCTCTTTCTTTGACCTCTCTGTGACTTACTTTTCATTCTACTCAAATGAAAGACTTTAGTAAATTAATAATTCCTTTTTTAATTATTATTATTATTTTTGTTTAAGCAAGCATCAAGTGTAAGATTTGGGCATCTGGGAACCTGTGCATCAGGTGTGTACACTAACATGGGTTCAATTGTTAATGTGGAACCCAAAATGTGTCTGCTGTCAGGCCCTAAAATAACCTAAAATAAACCTAGTGTTTATTTACAGGATACAACAGAAGTGAGTACACTGTGCAGCATCACCAAACTGTCACATGATTCAAAACTCCATCACTATACAGTATCTGTATCACTTTTAAATGAAACAGTGACACATTTACTCTTTGGTAAAATAGATGTTTGGATTTACTATATGAAAAATACTGGCCACACTGTAGGAACTCAATGCAACACAAGTTCATACAGCTTTTATGACTGACATGACTGTTTTTTCCCCTCCAATACTTCCTATCCCACCTTTGTGATTGAGACGCAATCATCCTCGGCATGGAAGAATTTCCGGAGAGAACTCTGCTTTTTACGGGAAGAGTTGTGTTGCTCAACCTTAAATAAAAATACCCCAAAATGTGTCCTATTGGACTAAAGTTAGGCAACTTAAGGCCAGGTCAAAGTTTCCATTTTTCCTCGTCAGATACTTCTGTGGGGTTGTAAGGTCGCACCGTCGCCTCGTAGCTAAAAGATCCCCGGTTTGCACCCCAGTTATGATGCCTGGGATCTTTCTGCGTGGAGTTTGAATGTTCTCCCCATGCAGCGTGGGTTCCCTCTGGGTTCTCCGGCTTCCTCCCACACAGTCCATAAGAACTGCACACCCATCTCTGTGCTTCACTGTCGGGACTATGCATCTGTCGTTTGTGGCATTTCAGGGAGGATGACCGCTGTGGCTTTGATTAGTGGTACGATGGATCTTTCTAGACCTCCTGATGGCGACTGCAATTGTGTTTTCACAGATTCTTTCTTCCTGTATCATTTAGCATCAAGTCTCATCATTACATTTTCCACAATGCAGATGTGAACACAGATACATTTGAGGTCCATAACTAAGAAAATTCTGTAGTTCACCGGTCGTTTATATCCATGTTATTTTAATCAGGCTGATTAGAAATTCCTGTGCACTCAGTTTTGTTTCAGTGATCCCGGGTTTCCTAACTTGTCTGTCAGTGATCAGAGATGTATTCACTTTTGTTGTACTGAGGTTTTTTTTTGTACTTTCAATATAGTCGTTCTAAACTATTTATTTCTGGCTGTTCATAAGAGTAAACACTCAGTTTAAATCATTTGACATTTCACTGATATTCCACATGGGTCTACTCAACTCTACTGCATACTGTACACGGGGAATGCCTTTTTCAATCATCCACTAATTTAATAAATTCATCTACTCCTCGGCTAGTCGTGTTAGTGTTCACACCTGCGTGAGTTGCAAACACTTACAATGTTCATGAGTGTGAGCAGGTACTTTTGGACATGCTCCTTCCCGTGGAACTGGACCACGGAGTCATCGACGCCCAGCAGCACCTCGATGTTGTAGGCTCTGTCCAGGCTCTGCCTGCGCGTTCTTCCTGCTCGCGTGTGGTTGATGCTCTGCTCCACGCCGCGGTACAGAGACTCCAGGTCCATCAGACCACCGAGATCTGCACCTAAACACACACAGATATGGCATTTTTGCAATGAATATATTCAATCAGCCAAATATCTATAATGCATTAAATCTATATGCTTGTATGTAAATAATAATATTACAATGATGGACTGAAAGGAACTCCTTTGTTTTGTTTTTTTTTTAATTTGGATGAATAAGTGATAGAAACGTTGGTGTGCAAATTGCATGAAACACATCTCATGCTATTCTCCATGAGGACGTGGTATTTTAAAAACATAAGTAGGTAATCTGTGATAAACTGCAACCAGTCAAGACAGACACCAGGTCAGGCAGAATTATTTACTTGAGTAAGCCTGAATTATTTGTTTTCAAAAGCCATACTAAGACCAACACACAGCCAAGGCAGAATCACACAATGACTCACAAACACAAAAATTCAGATCAATGGTCCACTTGGTGGATTTTCCTGGTTTCTTAAAGCTAAAGAAAAACAAAGTGGATCTGTTTCAAGGTCAACAGTGAATCTCCAAACTCCAAACAATGTAGCTCTTCATCTATACAAAGCATATTGAATCAAATAATGTTTGGTAATGACAAGAACTGATTAGCATGTGTAGCCCAACAATGTCCCAAATGTTGGTCATATTGTATCCTGTTGTCCTGTTGTGTTATGCACTGAGCAGACATTTCTTCCTTGCAAGTCTTTGCATTCTCTCTAATCTGCTCAGCTAACTCGTGCCTGCTTCTCTCCGCAGTGCTACACTGTTTTTGAACATTATTGTTGTGTGTTTGGTACACATCCACATCCATACGCACGAGTGTACTTATTCAAGGATTTAGCATGTTGATGTCTATGTGTCTGTCTCTTGTTTGTTTTCCAAGACACCAGTTGACAGAACCGAGCATGTGTGTCCCTTGTAACCGGTGCTAGCGGTGCGGCTATCCTTCACAGATCCTCTCCTAATCAACCAAATATTTCTACTCCCATCTGAATAAAAGGAACAGATGGTGCTTGCTAAACACATGGATTAAGACAGCTCCCTCACTCAGGGGCTGCCCACCCTGCTCTTTTCTTGGCTTGTTATATGCTTGGGGGGGAAAAAAAAATAAAATGCAGATTACACACTATTTGAGGTTACCCCATTGGGAAGCGTGCAACCTGCAGCAGCCCTGATTTGTTCTGATCACTAATTACTTCACACAGGTATGTCAGACTGTGTGTTGTTGTGACATTTTTGGGATGAAATACAATCTTGACTCCTAAACAGCTTGTATTAAGTTCGGAGTGCCTGGTCTGATCATGTTTCTTTCTCCGTTTTAAATGAAGCAAAGAGCTGCAGTCAGTGAGGATACAGAAGATAAATTGTCCTGTCTCCAGAGCCAAGGCCATCCTTCTTTCACGTGCTGTCCTCCTTCATCCTCCCCCTCTCTCTCATCCTCCTGGTATATGTAAGCACAGCACGGCCTTGCTCATAAGGAAGCCATGGAAGGCCAAGTCATGCAGTCTTGAACATGTGGTCTCAGTGGATTCAACAAAGCAGCATCCTCCCTGACTCCAGCCAAGGCCTCCCACAGCCAAGGATGACACACAACACAGCTTATAGCGCAGTGTGTGTGTGTGTGTTTGTTTGCAGGTGTTTGTTTGTGTGTGTGTGTGTGTGTGAGTGTGAGCACAAACATTTCCAATTGAGCCATAAATCACTGTTCCAACCGGAGCTTTAATTTAGTTGAATCTCGGGTGCGGGGACGACTAACTGTAATAGATATACTGTTTTTGACTGTGGAGCTCCGTTTGGAGGCGCTGCATGCCGAGTCGATTCAACACGTGGCACGATGGAGATAGTTGGAGCGCCGGTGTTTTGTCGCAGACAGAGCAGGTGCCGAGCGGAGGAAAAAGAAAGAGACGCGAGTGGAAGGAACGGGGGGGGTGGCAAGATGAGGGGAGAGAAAAGAAAGATGTGCCACCTTGTCTCCCAATCAGCAAGGGGAATCCTGCTTTCCCACTCCCCTCTTATGCAACGTTTCCAAGACAACGGGCTCATGGGTAAAACAACGACCACGTGGTTAACATTGGCTCCTGAGTTGCTAATCTGAAAGTCTGACTATTATCCCATATCTGCCCACATTCCAGTGAGTGACAGAATACCAGCACAGAAGCAGGAAGAAAAAAAAAATCAGGGGGGGGCAAAGATATAAAGTAACAGAGACAGACAAGAGAGTATGAGAGGAGAATTTAAAGCACATTAGCGTATCTCACCACAGACGCTGAACATTTCTTCTCCTTGTTAGTGGAGGAAGCTGGATTTAAGGTGGTGTACTTCACAATAACCCTTGGCTCTTCCTAGTTATAGCTGCCTTTAACGAGCCTGGTGTCATAACCACACCATCTGCTTCTGAAGAGAGGTCCAGATATTTTTACCTTTTCCTTATGTAATGTTAAGACCAAAAAAAAAAAAAAACAAGGAAAAACAGCATTGTGTTCTCACTTTTACCTCTGTGTTTCACAAAATTGCAGCACCTTGAAAACAGTGAATGAGACAATGCAGGGACATTGCATAACACGGGGGGCCATGATAAGAGGAGATAACTTGAAGTGACAACGAGCGGAGCGACTCAAACCAAGAAGAAGCTGAAAGGTGTGTTGACCAGGTCCTAAGCCTCTCTCTGTTTCATCGCCTCTCTGTCCTCGCTCGAACACTAACTATTTTTCTCTTGCTTCAGCTGTTTTGGAACGAGTTTTTCAGAGCAAACTGCGGAGGAATGAGGCGCAGGAGAGATTGAGGGAGGTGAGAGGTAGAGCTGAGGGGTGTGATGGATGAGAGAGAGAGACGAGAAGAGACCAGAAGGACCTTGGGTGCTGCGAGTTCCGCTTCAAGCTCCTGCGGCGACGGAGAATATCGCTCTCTCGTAGAGAATCCGAGTCCGTCTGTGTGACCGCGGGTGAAGCATCAGGGTGCGCTGCTGTGTTTCTCACAGCGAGCACTTCGATTAGCCTCCGAAAACCAAACTGTTAACACGAGCAGCCTTTATATGGGGAACTAATCATAATAGTTTTCAACTTTCCTTCCTCTAATTACTGTCATCTTTATTCCAAAACCTCCCACACACCTTCATCTCTCTTCATACCTGCGACTCTCCTTTTTCCTCTCTCTGTGCTGCCCACCCATCCTCATTTGCATTTTTCTCCCTCCTGTCTGCGTCCCCTACATCCCTTTACCCCTACTGCCCCTGACCATCACACGCAAACATCTCACCCTACACCTCCTCACATGCTCGCGCGCTCGCTCTTGCTCGAGCAGTGTTTTCATTCAGGTGGGGTATAGAGCGTGGCCTTATTAGGAGACAAAGGTTCTTTGTCTTTCAACCTTTGCAAAATGTCAAGAATGTCTGGTTGCCCGCTGAATACGAGGCGGGGTGGGTTCGGGAGAGTAAGGGGAGACTACAAAAGCCACAACAAGAACGAGGGAGAAACACTGGTGATGATAATTCAGGTCAACCACTTTACTAGAGAGCAGCAGTCTTTGGTTTAAGGCGACTGTTTGGCAGTCCGGTGTGGAGCGTCGCTCTGCTCTGCATTCGAGATGACCTATGGTGGTCACTCTGACCAGCTTCAAAGTTTGCACTCGAGAAAGTGGGTGTGCAAACATCTGTATTAAGACTATATCGCGTCTTATGTACGTTTCATGGAACTCCAATGCAGCAAACAGCAGAGCATCCGTACCCCGCTGCCTCATGAATAGTGATTCATGTAGCAAAGCAGACTGGAGGGGCTGCGTCCGACAATTTCTGTAACTTTCAGAAACTGACACTTCAACAAGAAGTGAAAAACTAACTACAGCTTGAACTTATTTCTCTGGCTCTCTTTTTTTTTTTTCACAAGTATTTCTGTCACTTTTTGTGTGTACAAACAAGTGAAACGCTATGAATTCCTTTTGGGAGAGACTGTCAGAAAATGTGAGCTGTTATCCTCGTGTTCAACAGTTATCGTGTCTCACAACTTTCTATGATGGGCAGCTTTTCACTTAGTGTTGGAGCAAAACAATATTCCTTCCATCATGGTTGGACAACACATCAGAAAAAACAACCACTCGTCCTTTTGAAGCGTACCATTGCCTTCAACCACAGGTCTGGTCTTACAATTTATGGTAAAAGTCTTGCATGGTTTTAAAACTTTGCACCAGTAATTTAGCAGCCCCAAAGTATTTTGTGCTGCTAAATTACACAAGATTATGGGATTTAAATGCAAACTGAATCAACTGTTTGTTAACTCATTCTCATCCTCCTGCAATGAATCACTTCAGTCACTAACGCATGCAAACTGCAATGAACTGGTTTCAAAAATGACATATTTTGCTCTGTTGGTTGTATATATTTGGATGTTTTTTTGACCAACATGCTGCTTTTTTAACTCTTAAAGAGCCCATATGATGCCATTTGGGGTTCTCACTTTCTGTTAGTGTGCTTTTTTATGTAAAAAGCTACAAAGTCAGAACTCCACTCCAAAGAGAATTATTCTCTCAAACCAAAAACATTTCTCCAGAACTGCCTGAAACACCTCGTTTGTTGTCCAGACTATTCTTCCATTACTTATCTACGTCACTACATAACACATTTGTATAATTGCCTGCCTAGTGGCTACTTTGGCACATCCTCAAACAAAGAATGAGTAGTTTAGCTCCACTAACTACATCTCCAGATATTAGAAGCTGATCTCATCTCATGAGCTCATCTCTTTTAAGATGAGACAGGACATGTAAACACATTCTTGAAGACTCCAAAAGTAAGATTATGAACCTGTAAATGAGCACAATATGGGCTCCTTAAAGTAAAAAAAAGGTTCCCTTTTATGAAATAATGATACAAGTATTATATTAACAATCTGAAAACTGCACTGAGGGTGTCTGTTTACACACAGTTTGTCCATGAGAACAGATTAAATCTTTTTTTGCATATTTAGCTTTTTTTTTTTTTTATCACGGTGCTTATTTGTAAGCTGCAACAGGCGGGAGTGGAGATGTTGAACTCATTAGTCCTCAC